TTTTTTTTTTTTTTTTTTTAAAGAGGTTATGTTTTTTATGAACAGGAAAAAATTAAGTCCGGTTCATAAAAAATGAGTTTAAAAACCAAGTCAGGGGCACCTGGCTGGCTCAGTCAGAAGAGCATTAGCTCTTGATCGTCAGGGTCCTAATAAGTTCAAGCCCCACATTGGGTATAGAGATGACTTAAAAATAAATGGACTTTAAAAAATGGCGTGCCTGGGTGGCCCTGTCAGTTAAGCATCTGACTCTTGGTTTTGGCTCAGGTAATGATCTCCTAGGTTTGTGGGTTCAAGCCCCGTGTTGAGCTCCACACTGACCTTGCGGAGCCTGCTTGGGATTCTTTGTCTCCCTCTCTCTCTGCCCCTCTCCCACTTGTGCTGTCTCTCTCAGAATAAATATCAAACAAAACTTTAAACCAAGAAACAGGACTGCTAAGACACTTCTATTAGATTCTTGATCTAGAGGTCTTAAACCTAGAGCCCTCTTCATACTTCGCAGTGAAGTATCTCATTAATCTGCCAGAGTGTCAGCCCCACTCTGGAAGTGTTAGCCAATGAGGTTAAATAACAGTAAAAGACTCCCTCCTGACTAGGAGGAAGGCAAGCCTCTCATCATTTGTAGGTGATAAAGTTGTATGTCTGGAAAACCCAAGAGAATCAGCTGGAAACCGTTATAAATAAGAGTCCAGGAAAAGAGCTTGTATCAAAACTAATATATGGGGGTGCCTGGGTGGCTCAGTTGGTGAAGTGTCCGACTTCAGCTCAGGTCATGATCTCGCGGTTCGTGAGTTTGAGCCCTGCATCAGGCTGTCTGCTGTCACTGCACAGCCTGCTTCGGATCCTCTGTCCCCCCTCTCTCTGCCCCTCCTTGTGCACGTGCTCTCAAAAATACGCAAAAAAAAAAAAAAAAATACAAAGATTAACTCCTTTTTTATATTAACAAAACAGATGATTTTTGTAATGGCAAGAAAAACTAAAAAACTTAAATATATAGGAGCTATATTAAGATACTTTTAGGGGCACCTGGGTGCCTCAGTTGGTTAAGTCTCTGACTTCATCTCAGGTCATGATCTCGTTTACGGGTTTGAGCCCCATGTTGGGCTCTGTGCTGACAGCTCAGAGCCTGGAGCCTGCTTCAGATTCTGGGTCTCCCTCTCTCTCTGCCCCTCCCCCCTCACACACTCTCTCTCCTTCAAAAATAAACATCAAAAAAAACTTTTTTTTAAAAAGGTACTTTTAAAACTGTAGCCCCAAAAGAAACCCACATGCTTTGTATATATGAGATGCTCAACAAATATCTGTACATAGACCATTCCTGAAAAGATGCTACACAGACTCGTCCTTTCTGTCTGCCTCTGGGCAAGGGACTGGGTGGATGGTGGACAGGTGAGCAGGGAGAGGATGGCCTCTTCACCGGAGGCTTTCATAACTTGAATTTTGTACTACCTACATGAATTGTTTATTTTTAAAGATATGTGTTTAGAGAAATGAACACAGACATGAAGAGACCAACCTTTTTCTTTAATGACTTTATTGAGACATGACTATATATAATCCATCCATTTGAAGTACAATTCAGTGGTTTAAAGCATATTAACAGAATCGTCCAGTTATCACCACACTGTCTTACAGCATTTCCATCACCCTCAAAAAAAAAAAAAGAAAAAAAAAAAAAAACCATGCCCATTAGCAGTCACCCTCCATTTCCCCCAGCCCCTAGTAACCACTTGTCTACTTTCTGTGAAATTGCCTATTCCGGACATTTCATGTTAAATAGTCATGTGTGAACCTTTTGTCTGGCTTCTTAGCATGATGTTTTTGAGGTCCATCCCTGTTGTGGCAGTACAGTATTCCATTTTATGAATATACTATACATTTGGTTTACGCATTCAATCCTTGATGGACATTTAGGTTTTTTCTACTTTTATGGCTGTTGTAACTGCTGCTTTGAACATTTGTGTGCAAGGTTTTGTTGAGATCTAGTTTCCTCTTGGGTATATACCTAGGAATAGAACTGCTGGGTCACGTGATAATTCTGCTTGACATTTTGAGAAAATGCCAAGCCTTAATTTCTAGTAGAAAAACTCAATATTGTGAAAATGTCAATTATCCCCTGAATCCATAAACTCAGTTCAATCTCAATATCCTAATGGAATTTCTTGTTGGTATCATGATTCTAAAGTTCTATGTTTTAAGGGGTGCCTGGGTGGCTCAGTTGGTTTAAGCATCCAACTTTTGATTTTGGCTCGAATCATGATCTCCCAGTTTGTGGGGTCCGGCTCCGCACTGACGGCAAGGAGCCTGCTCGATGGGATTCTCTTGCTCCCTCTCTCTGCCCCTCCCCCACTTGTGTTTTCTCCCCCCTCCCAAAATAAACTTTAAAAAAAGTTCTCCATTTTAATTTTTGCACTGTGCATTATCAGTTTTATAGTTACAAAGTCACAGGCGTTTGCATTTTGGGAAATTTAAGTATTTTGATAAACTTCTGTGAGGGGTGCCTGGGTGGCTCAGTTGGGTAAGCATCCAGCTGTTTCAGCTCTGGTCATAATCTCACAGTTCATGAGTTCGAGTCCACAGCACGGCCTGTGCTGACAGTGCGGAGCCTGCTTGGGATTCTCGTCTCCCTTTCTCTCTGCCTCTTTCTCAAAAATAAACATTTAAAAAATTTTGTCTTGGTAAACTATAAGTTTTTTTGAGAATTGCTACCCAGTGAACCAAGGATGGGCTTAAGATTGGCTAGCCATCCATTTTTGTGACACAAAAGGAAATTATTGATGAATTACAAGTTTGCTTTCTTCGTTAAGACAAAAGACCATTTGTAATCCACAAAATTTCACCTTCTAAATCTGCTCTAGAAAACTCTACCATTTGATTTTTCCAGGTAGCTACTCGGAAAGCATGTGGTTTGGCGCTGGCTAAACTGGGCCACGCAAACGATAGAGTCATTGTGCTGGATGGTGACACCAAGAACTCCACCTTCGCAGACATATTCAAGAAGGAGCACCCTGAGCGCTTCATTGAATGTTTTCTTGCTGAGCAAAACATGGTGTGTGTGCTATGGGTGTTCCTCCTGGGTCTTCTCATTGACAGTGGCCTGCTGGACACAGGAGGCCAGCCCCGAATTACAGTTTTTCTTTCCATTTATAAAAGCAAAGGTACTGGAGGAAAAAATGGCTCTGAGGAAGCAAGTCGAGAGTAGCTAGGCAGTTTGTGGGGTAGCTTCCAGGACTGCTAGGATTCATTTGGAGCAAGTAGTATTTATCAATTTTTTTTGATTGCCAGGTTTTAAAAATAAGTTTTTCTGTAGAATCCAAATTTCTGGATTCTCTTAAAGAGTAGGAAGATCTGTCAGCACCAAGACGGCATTACCTCCTGCCACCAGTTGGCTGGAACTAAGCAGGGGCCCCCTTTAGATGGTTGTCCACAGCCAACTGGCCCATGTCCCTGCCTCTGGCCACCCTGCACTTTGATTTATGGTGCTTCTCTGGGCCTGTTAGTATTAGAATTTAAGCTACCCTGTTAGGTAAAGTAGATTGTTAACATCTGTAAGCATAAATACGTTTTTCTCTAGGTCTTGTTAAGTTATTTCCATTTTGAATGGAAAAAATACAGTCCATCATTCTCCAAATTGAGTCTCTTATCAGAAAGCTTGCTCCCCATCTCCTTGATTCCTTTAGTTAACAGCCTTCAGCATATACTCTGTACTGATGGGTTCCCACAGTGGGAAGAAAATTAGTAAAACTGCAGCTAATAAGTAGTATCCAATGCCATGTCGAACCTGGTGGCTATGGTAGGAATGTAACCGGGGCCAATCAGGGATGGTCTCTCAGTTGATGTGACATTTAAGCTGAGATTTAAGTGATGAGTCGTGCACAGATCTGGAAGACGGCATTAACAGCAGAGGGGACAGCTATCTCTGCAGCAGGCCAACATTTGAACCATCTAGGGAGAAAAAGTGGCAGCATGGTGAGTACAGGAGGAAATTGGCAAGGTCACCAGGGGCCAGATCATATGGTGCTTTTACTGGCCACTTTCAGTATCTTGGGTTCTTTTGCAGTTTACTGGGAAACCACATGATCTGTTTTACAAGGCCCTGCAATGTGAAGAATAGCTTGCTGGGGGGGCGGGGTGACAGAAGATGGGGACTTGGGCCAGGTTGGAAGTAAGTGGACTCATCTGGAATCTCTTTGGGAAGGAGAGCTAACAGGATGCCATAAGGGTGGGTGTCAGGGCAAGAACCAAGGCTGGCACTCGGGTGTAGGCCAGAGTGCCTGGGTAGAGAGAGGTGTCACTTCCCAAGATGGACATGACTGGGGGAGAAATGGATTTGAGGGCATGGGAGCTCTGTTTGGGCCCTGGGGGGTGAGAGTACTGGTTGGTAAGGGGTCAGGTAGTTCGGAGGATACGTCAGTTGTCTTCAAGTGTATTCTATGAATGTGTTTTTCTGAACTATGTATTCTTCTGCCTAGTTTTAAGATAAAATTTAAATTCTTGTTACAAATTTAAGTAGTTAACAAAAGATAGCTTCCCATGTATTGAATTTGAGGCACTTTAATACTCAAATTATCCAATTAAAGATCACACAAGGACTCTCCTTAGTTGTCAGAAGCATTTCTATCTCAATTCTTATTGCTATTCTATTGCCCTAACTTTTTTTTATACATGAAAGCCTTTTTATTGATAACCTGGAAGAGGCTGGGCAGAGAGTAGGAAGTGGGAAAGTGAGGATGGTATGAGAAGTTTTTTGTGAGGGAGAGCCCAGGTGAAGGGTGGTATCTGGAGGGGGAGGATGAGGTGGAGGTGGAGAGGTAGAGATAGAATATACGAGCATATATTCGAGTGGTGAGAGAGTAACACGAGAAAGGGGCTGGATCCATGAGGGGAGGGGATAACTGCACTGCTGGAGATGCCCTTGAGGACTCAGGAGAAGGGTGAGATTCAGCATGGCAGGTGGGCCAGTGGACCGTAGGTAGGTGCAGGTACCCTGTCTCTTAGCCAGCAGGTGGGTGGTTGGGGGCCGATGGGAGAGCCTCTGTTGTTCTCTTCTCATTTCCCAGGAGATGCAAAGTGAGGGTACCATGTGAGGGAATAGGGAGAAGGGTGCAGAAGGGGACCTGCCAGGACTGTGGGGAGGGAGGCTTTGAATGTCCCGAGCTTTCCTGTCTTCTCTTCCCTATCTTCCTGACTTGAAGGATCCAAGTCAGTGCCCCAATTCCTGTTATTTTCTGGAAGTTTGGGGGACATCAGGGGTTTGCCAGATTTCGGGTTTGCCCAGCTACGTGCCTGGGGAAGGATGAGGTGGTGGGGGGAATGTGGAGTAGAGATTATCCTGGGACACACTGTGCACTGGGGAAGGGGAAAGGAGGGGGCAGGGTTCAAGCATTTGTTTTCCCTTTCACTATTGTGGTTTTGTTTTCCCAAGGCTTCCACATTTTAATTTTTCTTAAATAGACCAACTATTCTAAGGGTGTCTAATTCACCTTTTTATTGCAGGTGAGCGTGGCACTGGGATGTGCCACCCGTGGTCGGACTGTTGCTTTTGTCAGCACCTTCGCTGCCTTTTTGACCCGAGCATTTGATCAAATCCGGATGGGAGCCGTTTCTCAAACCAACATCAACCTTGTTGGGTCCCACTGTGGAATATCTGTTGGTATGAGTTCTCAGTACCAGCATGTTTTGTTTTGCTTTTAGAATTTAAGGTTTTTTTTATGCTTATTTTTGAGAGGGGGGGGGCAGCAGAGAGAGGGAGGCACAGAATCCAAAGCAGGCTCCAGGGATCTGGAAGGTCAGTTAGGATCCTAACCCACAGTGATGTCTCGTGGGAGACATGTAGCAGTTAATTATGGCATTATATTGGCCCAAGAATTGGACAGTTTTGTAGGGCTCAGCTACAAGTGTGGGCCCTCCCCCCATGGAAATAAGCTTTTGTTTATCCAGCAGAGGGCAGGTTCCCAGTTGGCCCTTGATCATGCATTTTTGGGCCGTGGCTTTGCTTTCTCAGGTGAAGATGGCGCCTCCCAGATGGCCCTGGAGGATCTGGCCATGTTCCGAGCTGTTCCCAACTGCACTATTTTCTATCCAAGTGATGCCATCTCAACAGAACATGCTGTTTTCCTGGCAGCCAATAGCACGGTATTTTTTTTATTATTATTTTTGAGAGTGTGAATGGGGGAGGGGTGGGGAGGCACAGAATTTGAAGCAGGCTCCAAGCTGTCAGCAGAGAGTCCCAACAAGGGGCTCGAACCCACGAACTGTGAGATCATGACCTGAGCCGAAGTCAGACATTTTGACTGAGCCACCCAGGTGCCGCACTAAGGTATTTTTTTTTTCTTTAAGGGGACACTGTTTAAGACGAAATGTTTCTACGCTCCGCTGCTAGTTTGATACCGATGATTGGGTTTTTCCCATTATTTTCTCAGTGTAAAGATCATATTTGTTATAGAAAATTTGGCTGTACGATTCCTTTAAGAGACAGAACAATTACCCCAAAAAAGTGATCGAGCATGTAGAACATAAACATGATCACATTGTAAAAGACAGTAGAAAAGGACACGGAACAGCTGACGGTCCATATGGGGCAGGGCTCAACACGGCGAGGAGAGTGCTCTGGGCACTCCAAGGAAAAGGGGGGCTGTCAGCAATGTCCTGGGAATGGGCTCCAGGAGGGATCAGTGATGCTGGCCTTAGACACATCCCATGCTGTCACCACCTCGTGACATCCAGGAAGCTGGAGAGTGACCAGTGGGTGGCCAGTGTCTCCACTGTAGACAGACCTCAGAGTCCCCAGCCCAGGTCCGTCCTCCGAAACCTCTTAGAAGGGCAGGAGTATGAATTGTGCCCCACTTGCCCTTTCGCAAGTCTCCCACAAGGGCTGTAGATGGACTCAACCTAATTCCTGTCTAGAACCCAGTTGCAGGGCAGGCTAGAGGACGGTCTGAACCTTTTCAGCTGCTCCACCTAATGGTCAACAGACTCCCCTCACCACCAGCCCTGTGCCCACCCATGGCCCTGCATAGGCAGCCCTGGGCATGGTTGGGATAGAACCAGTGTTCCTAAACTAATAGTTTATAATGTATAGTTTTTTAAAGAATGAAATATTACGAACTATTATGGCAAAAATCAGTTGTTTAACGTCGTGTTCTGGGCTTTTTATTAAACATGAGTCCGTGCTGTGGCCTGCATTTGTGTTCTGCAGAGAAAGAACAAGTCCATGGGTATGTGAGAAAGCTTTCCTATATCACTGAATGTGATAGCATAGAAGGCTTGTCACTGAGGGCATCTGCCAGGGTCCTACGTAGGTTTTTGCCTGGCTTGGTGTAGTGATCTGATCAGGTGCCACCTGACGTGTTTGCTAGTAGTTGTATAGATGTTTATCCTCTGCTCCAAAATGTGTGCTTTGTTTTTAGTGAAGAGGATTGTTTAGCTGTCTTCCCCCCCTCCCTTTTAAAACAAGTTTATTAGTTGGAAATTTAGTTTTGTTTTTTTTTTTAACTGTAGCTCTGGTTTTAATTTACGCCCTAGGGGATATGCTATATTCGGACCAGCCGACCAGAAACTGCAGTTATTTACACCCAACAAGAAAGCTTTGAGATCGGACGGGCCAAGGTAAGATCTTAAGTCCTGTAGTGCCTTCTAGTATCATTTCATGTGGAGAGATCTGGTCTAAAGCTAGCACTAGGTATCCCTACAGTCAAGGCTTGATCCTTTCTTTGCTCTGGTTTAAAAAAAGTTCTGTTGTGACCTTTACCTGCTTTTCCTCAGGAAGGAGCATTCTACCAGTATCAGCCTAAGCAAACTTTTTCCCTTTCCAAATGGAGTCTCTTCTTTGTTGAACTCTTAAAGTGGTAACAACTTAAAGGTCCTTGAGTTGTTGGGGTGTAAATTACCACAGCCTGGAGCTAAATGAAATAGTACAACCGATTTCAAATGAATAGTGAATCTGTCAGGTTTGGGTTTTGCAGATCCAAGCCAGGAATAAAAGGGAACATGAATGTCTTGCCACTGGTCATTGTGTGGCACTGAAGTTGGTGGGATGTGGCCTTGCCCATGGGCCTGATAAAGGCTAGCATCACTGGGCACTTGCTATCTTCTGTGTTCTCGCAAAAGCCCTAGAAGCACAGATTGGTAGCAGCCCTGTGTTGTAGGTGAGGGGCTTACTACGGGTTCACAGCAGCAAGACCAGGATTCAGACCAAGACATTGACCTTGTCTCTGTTGGGGGCCATGTATGTGCAAAGAACAGAACCAACAGCGTCTGGGGAGAAAATAAGTGACTCTGCTCTGTCACCTGGAGAGCAGAGCTCGCAGATGTTCTGACACATTTCCTTCCTGCCTTTCTTACAGCGTATATGTATGCTTTATGTAGTTGAGATCATATTGCAGAAGAAAGTTTGTATGTTTTAAGCTTTTTTGGAATGTCATTCATACTTAAATGTGTGAAAGAGCACTAGCCAGTGTTAAAGGAACAACAGGTGACATCTGACTTGATTGCTAAGAACTAAGCTGCTGGAGAATTCATAGCTTGTAGTGCTCAGAAGGACTGTGTCTGAGTACTGAATGGCTTTAGTGCTGCAAAAAAGCGGGCATAACCAAATGTTCGTGACCTGCTGCTGGGTAGCTTGCCAGCACTGAATGAGAAAGCCGCAGTATTCATCTTCAGTGTTAACCACAGGTTCTGTTGTTCCCCTTACTCTCCCGCGGAAACTCAAGGCTGAATGTCCCTGAGGGTGGAGGTGGGGGTCTCGGTGAGTGACCTGTAATTTGGCAGAGCTTTCTCATAGCTTGTCTTCTTTTTCCCCTAATATTTGCCCTGTCCTGACACAATGAAGTACATTTCCTGATGGTAAAGGATGTGAGTTAAAATGCGTGTGATAATGTGCGTGGCATGGATAATTCAAGGGCTAGGTTTTGCAAAGGGGGTATGCGTTATGTATTTATATGGACGTATATGAAAAAGTTAGGATATTGTCAAAGAATGGGGTGGCTTAGAAGCCCTGAATGTTTGTACTGTCAGCAGTGCTTAAGCTACAAGGAAACCTATACAAAAGGATGAAGTGCAGAATAGTTCCAGATGCCTTTGGTTGAGTGACTTTGGAGGAAATAGAAGTCTATGGAAAAAAAGGCCAGGCCCCTGTCCTTGCTTACAGAATAGCTAGTGGGTGAGCATGTAGGCTTCAATGTCAGATGGGCTTGGCTGTTTGCCTCAGCCCTATCCTGAGCAAGTTCCTCCCACTCTGAGGTTTGCTTTCTCTAGCCACAGAATGAGCCCTCTAATGCGTGGGCTTTATAGGGCACTTGGACATGCAAGGTGCTTTGCACAGAACATGTCGCAAATGCCCCCAAATTATCCCCATTGACATGTTCATCGTCAGAGTCCAGTCTGTGCACGCCCCAACGAGATGTTGCGGATGGTCCAGAAATAGTGCTGTTACAGACCCTCTGTGAGTGTGAGTCTGTGGTCTGCAGCATGTGTCCCATACAACTTGTTTCTGGCCCTCTGCCTTTCAGATCAGGTTTGAAGTCCACCTTCTTTGCTAAAGGGGCATTTTGTTATTCTATAAGAACTTAGTGATTTGGCACCGTGTATATCATGAAGCATGATAGGTGAATTTGTAAAGTGAATATGAAGTAGGATTTATCAAAAAGAGTGTCATTTGTCAGTGTGTTGATGCAGCTTTTTTTTATAGTGAATTATTAAGCAGTAAAATTGGTAGGATCAGGGAAGAGCAATGTAGCAGAGTGTTATCTTTGAGATGTGCTCCGTGCATAGTAACCACGGCTTTTTTGTTCAATGGGCATAATACCAGGTCCTCCGCCACAGTGTCAATGACAAAGTCACGGTTATTGGAGCTGGAGTTACACTGCATGAAGCCTTAGCAGCTGCCGAAGATCTTTCCAAGCAAGGTCAGTTGGTGGTTGGTGAACATTGAAGTTTAAGCTGGGCAGAGGTAGGACTTGGGCTGCTTCATGCGCCCCAGTTGGTCTTTTTATTCTAAGTCAATTTCACACGTAAACCTGGCTATTGCGGTTTTCCAGATATTTCCATCCGTGTCATTGACCTGTTTACCATTAAACCGCTGGATACTGTCACCATCATGTCCAGTGCAAAAGCCACAGGTGGCCGTATTATCACAGTGGAGGATCACTACTCAGAAGGTATGTGCAAGCCTTTGAGGGTCATGTTGAAAGTCTGCTTTGGTTAGAAGTGTTCTTGTTTACCATGATGGGAAGCGTGACCTGCTTCAGGGTGTCAGCCAGCCAGCCACTCATACAACAGTCTTTATTACTGCTCTTTGCAAGTATATCATCTTACGGGTCTCTTGCCCACCTACACCAGCTCCTCGCGGAGGGCGGGGTGGGGGGGCATGCCCATACTCATTTGTGTGGCCCCGGCACAGTGCCTGGTCCCCAGGTGGCTTAGTGGCAGCACAAAGGAGTGTCTGTAACTCTCTTGCGGGCAGGAAGGGATCATAATGAAAAGCTTCACAGTTGCTCTTGAGTTTTGAATGATTAATAATTTGTTCCCCTCTCAAAATGGGAAATAGTGGCTTGCAAGCAGAGAACATGGCAACTGCAAAAAAAAAAAAAAAATGCATGGCAGGGAGAGGGAGGGAACTGGGAATGTCAGGTGGGGCACATGAGGGAGTGGAGAGTTGCATGTGTTCCTGTATCAGGGGCCCCAAGAGCACCCCCCCCCCCC